TTGCTATTTATTTTTAGTCAAATAGCCTTTCTGCAGAACTCTGTCACTGCAAATAGTCTCAATTCGCCATTAACTAACATTCCATCTGAGATGCATCAGAGCTAGAAGAATGATTATTTCACAATAAATGCCTTTGGGTCCAATTTTTATGTAACTTTATACACTTGTACAGCAAATCTCCTCCTCATTTGTCAATGGTCTGAGTGGAACACATGTCCAATCCAGAGCTAATCCCAATTCTGGATTATTTTAGGATAGCACTATGCATTAATTGGCATAAACTTCCTTTCTCCTAAGTCAATCACTGTGGTAGGAAGAATAGAGTTACTGCTCTCTCTGAACCACGTTACTGCTATGCAATAACATAGGCTTTGAAAGAATGTTGGTGTACTGTCTCATGCTGGGTTTCTCAGATGCTTGCCCAAGACAAAGATTTGTATGCACATGGTTTATTAATTATCTCAACAAGACAGGAAAGAGAAAGAAGCTAGCCTTGTATAACTGCAGGCAACGATCCCAGGATTGCAGTGTCAGCATGAACCATGGGGGAAGCTCTGGAAGGAAAATGAGCTCTCAGGGAAATCCTGACCTGAAATAAGACAGCTGGACTTTCCTGCTTCACTGTCATCCTTAAGCCTGAGGCTCAGGCTGCCCCCAAAGGATGGAGGCTGAGCTCAGTTCCATAGAAACAGTAAGATCTAAGGAGATGTGTGCAGGACAGCAGCAGTATTCACTACAGGGTGACAACCAGACTCTGTCACACCAAGATTAAGAGATTTTATTTTATCTAATATGTCAGCACATCCAGCCAAACATGTGCAAAGAGGGAAAAATGTGACAGAGAGAATGGATAGTTCCTGAATTTGAAAAATGCTGGACTAAATAAAGTTAAATAAAAGACATTCTGCAAGTCTGTTATGAGCCTTTACTGTATTAATGGGTGTTGTGAGTCAAACCACAAAATCCTTCTTATAAGACTGTCTCTTGGGAGTATCTTCTGTGAGACCGACTTTGGAAAAGGCTGCTTTGAGCAAGGGGCTGTCAAAGCCTTAGGGAGCAGCATAATCAGAACAGGATTTATGGCATGAAGTAAAAAGGGATGGAGAGAAGGAGCACTAAGAGACAATAAGATCACTTTGCCTTCTGCAAAGGTACAAATGAAATATAATTAAATCGTGAAATAAGCAAGTGGTATAAAAAATGAAGGAGGAAATGAATTAGACTCACTGGTAGTTAGAATTGTCATAACAATGAAGGCTGTGGGGCACTAAAGAAGTAGGAGATCCCAAGGTCAGTGGCTCAAGTGACTCCACAGCCAATGAGGCCCTTAATGATGATGGAGAATTAATGAGGAGGACAATTTAGAGAGACAAGATTAAAGTTTGAAAACTACATGGAGAGGTGTCGTAGACAACTAAAGCTAGAGGTGTGGATTTTGGATTTACCAGCTTTGGGCTGTGACTTAGTCTGCTTGGGCTGCCATAACCAAACACCACAGACTAAGTGGCTTAAACAACATAAATTTATTTTCTTAAATTTCTGGAGGCTGGAAGTCCAAGATCAAGTTGTTAGCATCATCAGTTGCTGGTGAGACCCACCTCCTTGGCTTGCAAACAATCACTTGCTCACTTGTCCTCACATGACCTTTTTTGTGGAAAGAGATAGACTCTTCCTCTTCTTGTAAGGACATTAGTCCTATCACATTAAGACCCTCATCAATCACTTTTAACCTGATTGATTATTCTTTCATTATCTCATTTAACATTAATTTCTTCACTATCTCCAAATACAGTCACATTGAGAGAATGGCTTCAAAATATGATCTTTTAGGAGATATGAGAAACAATTCAGTTCTTAACTGAAAACAAATTCAGTGCTAGTTGGAGCCTAAAGAACTAGGAAGTTGACTAGACTGAGTATTAACTGAGAATAGAACTCAGAGGGCCTCCAACCTTTGCAAGACAAGGGGGATAAAGGAGAGCCAGACCTATCAACTCTCAGAGCTAGCAGACTTGAGAAAACCATGTTCACTGTTCTGCACTTCTGTTGTTTCACCTGTAAAAAGGAGCTCATGATTGTTTTTGTTTATGGAGCTTTTATGAAAATAATATATGAGTTAGGGCCCAGTTGGAAGACAGAACACATAAAATGTTTACAACCACAAAGTGTAATATAAGGAATTATTAACAGAAGATTTGCTTATGGGGAGTTGCCTGTTGGGAATTAAAGAGAATACTAAGGAACCTAGGTGCTACAGATGGAAGGAGCAGGCATGATTCCCAGGGCTGACATGAAGCACCCAGGGAAGCTCTCCTCATGGCCATCATAGCTGAGCTCCAGACGGTGGAGAATGCATAGCTGTGACTCACTAGTGGCTCAGAAATCACTCAGGTGTCTCACAATTGGGAATTACTGGAAGTCTCTCCTCTGGAGTGCTGGAGCGACTTTCCACAGAGGGATGCACAGGCCTCAAAACCTGCTAGGTGCTTGGAGATGCTGTTGGCCATTGGGCACTGCTCTTCCAGGCTGGCATAGATCTCTGCATGGTTTGGTTTAGGATGGCTCTGAGCTAGCTGTCTGGGAAAAAGGTTGGGGCTGGCATACAACGAGTACTCAGTAAATGTTAGCTATTTACTCCTACTGTGATTCCTACTGGTACTCCTGCTACTGTTGCACAGTGGTTAAGAACTAGACCTTTACACCTGACAAACCTGGGCTCACATCCCTTATATGCCATTTATTAGCTGCAGGATGGTGGGCAAGTGACTTAATCACCTTAGGCCTCAATTTCGCCATCTGTGAAATGGCATTAATAATAGTATTCATCTCCTGGATTTGCTGAGAGCAGTAAATAGGAACATAAAGGTGAACTGCCTTATAAAGTAGCAAGCAAGTAGTAATGGATTTTCTTAAGTGGCTTTTAAAATGTTTTAAATAAATATTAGATCACTTTCTCTCCATAGAGTGTTCTTGACATTAAGTATAAAACTGAAAAAAGGAATATAGTGAGATAGTAACTAAATAAGTTACACGAATGAAAGCTAAGTGATTTTTAATATGGTGATTATTCCATCTTATCTGTGTGTTGAGTCTGAATTTACCAGATTAATTTTAACTGGATGCCTTGTTTATCGAGTATAGACCACAGAGAGGAGTTCTAATTCCATTCAGAAGTTCTGAGACAGTAAATTCTCCAAGTGCCTGGTCAATAGCAAATGTATTGATCATTCTGCCCTTCCAAAGTCTCTCATCAATACTAGTACATAAGACTCTGCAGTTCCACGAAGAATTGAAATTACAAAATCATAGTAGAATAAACTAACAGGCATCTTCTGCATGAGTCAGTTAAGACCTTAAATGAAAACATAGTATCTTCTTTCTAGTCTCAGTGATTACATTTTTAATTACCACATATTTTCAGGCACAACATCGAATTTGATGATTGATAGATTTGGTAAATTCTTCCTGGCTGCTATGGCTGGGAATTAAATTCCAGTTAACATAATTGTGTTTGTTGGTGGTGGTCCATTATGGATATCTACTACAACTGATAAACTCTCTAATCTCAGCTCCACTTGGCACAATATGGACAAGTCCAAAAATAAGAGACTGGTTATTGTCAAAAACAGTGAGTTTAAGTGAAAGCTGTGACTAGTCACAAAGACCACAGCCTTTGAGAAAATAGTCAGACACTTTCCACAGCAATGTTAAATTAGTCTAGCTTAATTACCATTCTCTAGCTTAGTAACAGAAATAATATATTTCAGAATCTCAAGATATTACTACCCCAGGGCAGCAGTTCCTTGAATTCCTTATTCACTGTGCTTTGATTTCATTTTGTGTAGTTAGCACTTATAAATAAGTGATTTCAATATGTGAGATTTCCATCTGACCTATCCAAATATCTGGGGAAAAATATTAAAAACAAGTCCCTAAGATTCTGTTAGTTTCATAATTGCTGTGTTCTCCTCTTTGATATTTCAAGCAGATTATTTGCAAACAAGTAAAAATCGCCAGTTTGCTAAATAGTTATCCAAACAAGGTTTAAAGTCACTGGCAGGAACTCCATTGCAAAACAGTTTCTAAAAAAAAAAAAACCCAAATAGAATAAAATAGGACATTTTCACCATTATATATTGGTAGCATTAGGAAACGTGGCAGAAAAATAATTTTTTAAAATTTTATTGTAAGAACAATGTTAATAATTTGGTATTAGATGTTGTGTTGTTCACTAAGAATCTAATATAAAATAAACCATATCTGATCAATTATAGATGTTTAGGTTATAAACGCACATATATTTATCATCCATAAATGATTCATATATTACTAGAATATTCCAGCATCTGCCAAATTTAGGCATATTTTTTCACCTTCTTTTTTTAACAGTTTTACAAGTAACATTTAGTTTTCCTATGTGCAATGTATACTGGTTTTCTTTTTTTAAAAAAAGAAACTATTTCCACAGGCTTTTGGGGAAGAGGTGGTATTTGAATACATGAGTAAATTTTTTAGTGGTGATTACTGAGATTTTGGTGCACCCATCACCCGAGTAGTGTACACTGTACCCAGTGCGTAGTCTTTTATCCTTCACCTGCCTCCCACCCTTTCCCCCAGTCTTGTATCATTCATATGCCTTTGCATCCTCATAGCTTAGTTCGCACTTATGAGTGAAAACATACGGTGTTTGGTTTCCCATTCCTGATTACTTTCACTTTCATTATATACTGTATCTCAGTAGTTTATAATCTATATAAATGGACTTTAAAATGTGCAGCTTTATTGTACAGGTTGAGCAGCTCTCATTTGAAAATCTGAAATCCTAAATGCTCCAAAATCCATAATATTTTCAGTGCGTACTTGATACTCAAAGTAAATGCTCACTGAAACAGGTCAGATTTTGGATTTTCAGATTAAGGATGTTTAACTGGTAAGTATAATGCAAATATTTCAAAATCTGAAAAAACATCTGAAATCTGAAATACTTCTGGTCCCAAGCATTTAGGATAAGGAATATTCAGCCTGTACCCTATTTTGACATAAACTAATATGTTTTTCTGGCATTTTAAAGATAGCAACACCTCTTTGACCATCCTTCCATTGAGGAACGGATCAGTTTTTCATCCCCTTGAATCTAGGCTGACCTGTGACTGTTTTGTTGAAGATACTACAGAGGAAATGATGCCACACCAGTTCAAGACTCACCCTTTAAAAGGATTGGCAGCTTTCAGCTCAGTCGCTTGGAGCCCTGAGCTGTCTTAGAAGAAGGCTGACTATTCCTATGTGAGAGACCACATAGAAACTAAAAATACTTGGAAGAGGACAGGGGCTTAGCTGAGCCCAACCTTCCAGCCAGCTCCAGCAGGGTGGCAAGTATGAGAGTGAGGATATCTTGGAGCCTCAGCAACCTGTGCTATGCAATAGCCTTCAGCCACATGTGACTACAGAGCACTCAAAATGTGAGTAGTTTAAATTGAGATGTGCTATAAGAGTAAAATAGATACTGGATTTCTTTTTTTTTTTTTTCTTTTTCTTTTTTTTTTTTGAAATGGAGTTTTGCTCTTGTTGCCCAGGTTGGAGTGCAATGGCACGATCTCAGCTCACTACAACCTCTGCCTTCCAGGTTCAAGTGATTCTCCTGCCTCAACCTCCCAAGTAGCTGGGATTACATGCATGTGCCACCACGCCCAGCCAATTTTGTATTTTTAGTAGGAACGGGGTTTCTCCGTGTTGGTCAGGCTGGTCTTGAACTCCGGACCTCAGGTGATCTGCCTGCCTTGGTCTCCCAAAGTGCTGGGATTACAGGTGTGAGCCACCGTGCCCGGCCACATATTAGATTTCTAAAAATATGTTTTAAAATCTCATTAAGAATTTTATATTACATTTAAATAATATTTTAGATATATCATATTAAACAAAATAGGCTATTGAAATAATTCCACTTACAATTTTCATATTTGGCTATTAGAAAATTTAAAGTTACTCTTTCTCTCTATATATATATGTTTGCATCATTGGACAACGCTTCTCTCAACCATCCCAAACATCAGCTAAAAACCCGATGATTTCAGTTGATATTACTTGAGCCATTCAGCTGAGCTATTTCTGAATTATTGACCCACAAAACCTGTGAGATAAAGTAAAACAGTATTGTTTTAAGCTATTAAGTTTTGGAGCAGTTTCTTACATAGAAATAGATAACTGAATGACATACATAAAAATATTAAATAATTCATAGAAATTATGCTCAACCTCTTAGAATTTAGAAGAAAGAAATGTGCTTGGCCTAAGCAACATTTTCACAGTCATGGTTAATAAATTGTAACCTAATGCCTAATTTTTTCCTACCTATTTGTAGCAAGTACGGAGTCTTAAATTTATTGATTTAAAAATTTGTCTTTGATAAAAAACTCTTTTTTTTAACTACTGAAGAGAACACATAGGAAAAGAAAGAAAGCATAGAAAATTAAAACCAATATTTTAATTGGTTCTGTTCATTTCATCAGGGAACAGAAACAGGAGATCCCAGTGCTTCATTATTGGTTACATTATTTGCATTAACATTTGCAATAATCAATTGAAATGTCAAAAATAATCTTTATCCAGGGTTCTTAAATCAGAAAAATGCAGATTAACTATTAGGAATACTACTTTCTCGCTAGGCAATACTGAGTAAACAACATAGCTTCTATGAATCCATTTTCTTATTCACATAAAATAAATGACAACATATTAATTACCTATTGAATTATTGTGAGGATTAGAAGAGCTAATATATGTAAAGTACTTATCTCAGGGCCTGGCACAGGGTAAACGCTCTGAAAGTGAGAGATTTAATAATAATGCATAGGGTAATTACATATGAAAGATTAAAATAGTAGAGTTGCCCTATCTCAAAAAAATTACATACTTGGCTATGGCGTAATTATTGTAACCCTAGTTGTCGTGGAAATGTTATAAACTTGGCTGCCTCTTACCTATCTCTTGATTACACAGCTGGAGCATCCTGCGTGATTCTATAGCGCTCAACAGGTGTCTGCCAAGCGGACAGACTACAGACCCCTCGGGTCGCATGATGCTGAGCCTCCCCTTGGACACATGAAGATTAAGTTAGTCAAGCATGGAGATTCCTCCCTCTTCCTCACAAACTCCAGATGTTTGGCATCTTCCCAATATCCTAAGACCTCCTGGACTGGGAACAAAATGAGTGCAGTGAAAGAGGAAGCAGCTTTAGTGAAAGCACCACAGGGAACAAACCAATAAAAAAGCAGGGGACTCAGCACAAGCCTGATTTATGTCACTGCGTTTTCCTACTCTCAGCCCCATTCCCCCAAACTCCCAGAAAGCACACAAGCACACACAGGTACACACATGCACATGCGCACACACACATGCACATACACAACACACACACACATGCCTTCTGCCAGCAGCTCTCTTTCTCACTCTCACTTTTCTTTTCAAATGCTGGCATTTGAAAAACTCCCCTATTTTGTTTCACCCTCCTTTTCTGCCTCCCTAAAGAGCTTCTGAAGAGGAGTTTTGATGGTGCGTCTGCGCGCTAATAGATTCGGGAGTGTGAAGCTGTTGCTTGAATCTCATTCCCTGAGGGTGCCTTTCTCTTTTTAACAGTTAAGAAAGAATTGATCTAGCCTCTGTTTTAGTCTCTGTTTCTAAACAGAAAGAAAGAAAGCAAAAGGAAGGAAGGAAGGAAGGAAGGAAGGAAGGAAGGAAGGAAGGAAGGAAGGAAGGAAGGAAGGAAGGAAGGGAGGGAAGAAGGAAGGGAAGGAGGGAGGGAAGGAGGGAGGGAGGGATATACGACGTAAAAGCAAAAACATTTTTAAGATGATCCCTTTTTCAACAGCTGGGGGCAATCCAGTGTATTCAGTTGTGTTAGTTCTGTGTCAGTCAGTAGGAAAAACCATGTAGAAGTGATGATTCAGTTTTCTTGGTGGGAACACAGAGGAAGCTAGCTGAAAACAATGGTTGTGCGTTCTTGAATGGACAGGCAAGTCCAGTAGTCAGAAGCAGATTTTGATTAGAAACAGAGGAATTTCTTCCAGGAAAACACATTGTGTCTTCATGACAAACCAAAAATAAACCAAATGTTCTGAAAACTGCCCTTTAAAAAGAAAGAACAGATTGTTCAATTCAAACACTTTCCTGAAGCAAATTGTTGCAGGCTGCATAGCCGCCTTCAGTACCAGCCACCCCTCCATCCTCCCCAGGGCCAGTATGAGGGGTGCATGAAAGACACGTGCATGCGGAGGACTCCACCATGATGCCTGGCTCCCATTGTACTGTCCCAGAGTGGTGTTGTGGCATCTGGGGTTAGTGCTATCTGTCCTGAAAGGGCATTCGACTCGGTTGGCAGAGAACACTGACACACATGGGGAAGCTCAGCCATCAGTGCAAGAGTTAATTCCCGTTTGCAATAATACTAAGGATGTCGCATTCATATACACTCAATGAGCAATAAAGTAATCATAGGAATATGCTCTTACAGGAGATAGTGGAGCCACAGGAGATAAAGGAGGATGTCCTGGAAGAGGGGGAACTTTTTTTAAGCCAAGGGAGAAAACCACTGAAAAGTAAATCTTTGCATGCAGCTGTGCAGCTCTGCAGAGCTAAAATCTGTGCTTTTAAAAAGTATACTCTGTGGAGTAGCAGTCCACATCAAAAGGTCACAGCTCAAAAGTTTTGTATTGTGCTTGGGTTATCCCTTAAGATGTTAGTTATAGCATCACAAAAGAACAAGAGTAAACTGTAATTTACTATTTTTGGAGTATTTATTTTTTTGTTAGACATTTAAAGGATGAGATGCACAGTGCCTAAGAGTGTGTCACAGAAGCAATTTCCACTTTATGCAGAATTAATACTCAATTACTTATCTGTTACCTGGACCTTGAGTGAATAATAGATTCCTAATAAAGGGTTTTTGAGCAAACAGATAGATTGGATGTATTTATGTTATAGCAGCCATAACAGCAAAAGAAAATCAAACACTTACAAAACACGAGTCAATCAAGTTTTAACTAGAGGATCCATCAAAGTATCACACAGTGGAGGAAAAACTCAAACGCTCTGCGCCAAGCTCCTGTCATGCCAGTTGTACGTGTTTGTGTGTGCGTAGGGTAGCTAGAGTTGGGTGTGTAATCATCCCTAAAATTCATTTGGTGAAGAAAGATACATTTTATTTGAAATCATTGTCTATTTTTGATTCCTGCCAATATTTTATATAACATAGAAGTCTGCCCCAGAGTGTACATAAATAATGATGGTCACAGGTCTAAATATACTATCTTGGTTCAATAATGAAAAGAGAATTTTTTCCTCGTGAGATTATTTTTTTCTTTGTGAACTTTGTATTAATTTAGGACTTAGGCCAATAATACATTGAATAGCAACTTTTTAACTTTTTATATTCCTCTAAATTGTGATATGCCGCTTCATAATGTATTGTAAATAACCGAGCATCACTCACTAGATGGCGGGGAATGTTTTCTACCATAACCACAAAAGACACATTATGTCTCTCTGAAGCCACGGAAACTTTCCACCTGCTGAAAGCTGTTGGCACGATGCAATGCACCTTAGCAATGGAAGCATCCCCTCTCCCCTCTCCTGCTTAGACCCAGCAAAAGTCATCTGCTAATTGTTCTTGTCTTTGGGGTTCTCCCTGTGACCTGCAAAGAATGTTCTCCATCCACATATCAATCTCTCTCTAACCCTCATTTTCTGATTTCTCTGGTGCAGTCAGAATTGTCCCAGGAGGGCTCTAACGCACTACATATCTGGTGCTTAAAAAAGACCTCTTCATCACCTGGCTTCAATAATGGTGGCCTAAAGGGAGCCCAGGCACCCTGTCCCATGCTCAGGTGAGTGAGAGAATGCTCCTGCAAGAATACTCCACATGCTGGGTAAACCTGGGAAGCTCAGGGCATAAGCCTCAGAACAGCTCTAGACATCCTGAGAAAGGCTGAGAAGACACAAGCCAAAACAAGCATGAGGTTATCTTCAAATTTTTTACTTCTAAAAGAGAAAGTATCTCTTTCCCTTTCTTTAAACATGCTATTACAGTGCTGTACTATTTGTTTTTTACCACACACACACAAATATTGCCCATATCTAAATATACATCTTGCCCAAACACACAAGAAATGGAGTTAAAGTTTCTTTTTAGCAAATTACAGGCTCTAGCTATCTATGACTCAGTCCACAGAGATCAGGTTGCTGCGTCACGAGGCAGTTTTTTGCCCTTTGCATGTCATGTACTGGGTGGTATGTGCTGTGTGTACAAAAGGAGACTCTTTGATGCTACGAACATTGATCTCTGTGCTCTGGCATCAATGTCTATCTCCTTGCCTTGGGAGAACTCCATGCCATATGGTGTGCTACTCCCCTGGGCTCTGAGCTTAGGGCTATAGTTATTACAAGGGAAAATGTTAACAAGCATTGCAAGGTGATGACAAGGTTACAGAAGGCAGAGGGTCTTGAATGTGGTGGTGACAGATGGTTGTCTAAAGACCCCTGAAGGAATCAGAGAATATCCGTAGACCCTTGGCTCCCTAAAGTCTTCCCTTGAGGGTCTTTGTGGAGACCTGTTTTTCTCACTCCTTCATTACCCACTTTTAATTTGACATAATTTCTGCCAATTTCCTTTCCTAGCACTGCATCGTGTAATACAGTAGCCATTAAACACATGTGGCTATTTCAATTTCAATGGAAATCAATTAAAAATAAATAAAATTTAACCAGCTCAATCACTCTAACCAATTTCAACTGTTTAATGGCTAATGCCACTACTAACAACAGTATGGACAACAGAGATTAACACTGTTCTAGAATAAAACTCCCCATTTCCACAGCTTTAGTCATGATCCATACTGGAATCACTGGGGACTCATGTCTTCTGGCATTCTTGATCTTCCATCTGTAGCCTCTATCTTTCTTCATTTACACCCTTACTCTTCTCTTCACCCTATGTAGCTAGTTTAATCCATACACATTTTTCTCAAGTTTTGAATTGTTATTATTGAAAACATTTTCTTTTCAAAACACTGCAGTGCTACCCAAGACCAAGTTTCTGAACAGTGATTCACAAGCGTTAGCTTTTGCTTCAAAGACCACAATATTGATTACTCAACAATTTAAGACACGCTCTTAAGGCAAAAGAGTGATCATAATTCTTCAATATTTAATAATGGACTGGCTAGATTTAGATTCTGCAGCATTAAATTATCTAAGGTCAATGTCCCTTTAATTTCCTTTGAGAAGTGATTAAAGCTACCAGAATGTTGCCATTCCAGGAAGGAGAAAATATATTCACTAATAATAGCTAATGTTTATTGAATGCAGAATCGATGTCAGGCATTGAGTAACCACTGAGTGCTCCACCAGATTGCCTCTTTTCAACCCACAGTGATCTTTTGATGTAGATGTTATTTCTATTTTACAACTCATCAAACTAATGTTCCGAGAAATTATATAACATTCTCAAAATAACAGAGCAAAGTGACAAAAATAAGATTTGAACTCACATCTTTCTCACTACAGAGTCCAAGTCCTTAAACTTGATGCAGTTTTCCCTCTTCAGTATGGTGTACTTTGATATTCCTAGCTTTTTTACTTATTATCTCCTTTGCTTCTCCAAGAAGTCTTATGAAGTAGTGTGGGCCTCATATTAGTGCCTGATACACAGTATCTGATGAGTAAAGCAGTGTGTCAATTTTCTTTTCCCAACTCGCAAATGACCGAACTGAAACTTAGAGAAGTTAAAGGTACAGGGACACAGAGACAATAAGATGTAGTGCTGAAAATTGCACCTGTATCTCCTGATTTCACTAGTGCTAAAGTCCTGCTTTAATTACTCTCAATCATAAATAAATAATAGATGTTATCTCAGGAATTTCCTCCTACTGTCAATAAGGATTTCTAGTTCCAGAAAAGATGGTAAACTTGCACACACTACTGGCTTCTTCTCCTGAATCCACCCTGGAAAAGCCACAAAAGTGAAGAGGTTAAGTATTCTGAATATCACAGAACACTCATGAGAAACACTTGAGGAGGCACTGGAGTTGGCCCAGGACAAAACTACAAAGCAAGAGACGCATGAGGTCTGGTCACGTCTGGGAATCCTCTCCTCTCTCCATCTCTCCATACACACATTGTCAATTAAAAGAGTCTCAGAGAATAGCATCATGGTGAAGAGGGGCACATGGGAGAGCTAGTGAGGTTTGTCTGGAGCAGAGCCCAGGGAAGAAAATGAGTATTTGTGGG